CGCGAACCCAGGATCCTCCTTCCTCCGGCCTTCCTTTTTTTTCTTTCAGGTTTTATAATTGTAAGTATCCAACAGATATTCTATAGCAATCCCTTGGCATTGTCAACACAAAAATCAATTTCATTTCGGAACAACACGGACCAATGAATTTAGTACCAACACATTTGTCCTTTTGTTTTTGACACTCCCAAAGCTTTTCTATCCACCAAACATATAATATTCAAAAAAAAAAAAAAAACTTAGAAACACCGCCAAACCAACTAGAACCTAAGATTGAACTTCTTTAATTGATAATTTATTGCGAAAAATGGGAATCAAAGAAATAAGAAGAAAAAGGAGACTACTGTAGCTAGATTTTCTTAAAAATAAACCATCCCCACTCAATTCATAAAAAAACTACAATTTTGGGTTTTCAATTTCTTTTCCTCTTTGGAAGGGTAAATATGAAAACATTCAAGATAGAGAATAAGAAGACATACATCGAGCTGACTGGTAATGGAGTCCTGCTGATTTGAGGGAGCCAGAATCAAAGATCCTGTCGTCGACTTCTCCCCCAACCTGGCGAACGAATTGTGCATCGTCAACCTGGCAACGCATGTCTGTCCCTCTTGCTCAAAACCCAAGTCGGAAATGGTGAAAGGAGAAATGGGTATTTAACCTACTAAGGAAGGCCGAAGGAAGGAGGATCCTGGGTTCGCGAGGAACCTAGGATCTGATTTTCAGAAGGCAAAGCTGGAAAAAAAAAAAAAAAAGGCCAGAGGAAGGAGAGGATGAGACAGAAGGGGGAAGAAGACAAGGGTAAATTAGTAATTAAATTATCACAAAATAACTTTTAAAATATTTATATTATATTAAATAAAAAAATTTTAACATGTCATCAATTTTTACAAATGAATTTTTTATATAAATTAAGTAAAAAAAAAAAAAAGTTTTTCCGTTAAATAACTTGCCACATCAGCCATGAAAAGGTTAAAAAAGAGTTGAATTTCAAATAGTAAAGATAAAAAAAAAAAAGATTTTTTCGATATATGAACTCAAAAAGAGCTTTTTCTTATAATAAAAGAATCAAAAAAAGGTATTTAACCTTTTTTTTATATGCATGTAATGATGTAGTATCAGTAGTATTTCTAACTACGAAGGACATTTTGTATCTTTTGTTTGTCTGCTGTAAGCAGGGGCGGAACTAGAATTCTTTTTAGGAGGGGTGAGATAATTTTTTATATCTTAATTTATAAAATTTTTAAATTTCAAGGAGGGTGAAATAATTTCTCATATATTAATTCATCAAGATTTTCAAATTTCAGGGGGCCCTCCCTCCGCCACTGGCTGTAAGTGATCTGTCTAAAATCCTGTGACGTTGAATTGTGTGTATGTTTAATCTTTGTGTGTTGCTCAAGTCTATTCCAATCTTAATGCACTTTCATGACAACTAGAACAAATTGATAAACTTATATAGTATTTGCTTAGATAAACAAAATTTAACCCAACCATCCCTATGTCAGCTATTCTCGATTAATTTTTTTCTTCTTTCGTCTAGCTTTCCTAAAGTACTAGTAAGAATTCTTCGTTGAATTCTTGAATATGAGCAGGCACGAATTTAATAACACTCTTTTTGGGATGTTAACCAAATTATCCTATCTGAGTGATCGAGGAAAATAATACCAATTTTCATCTATGGGGACATTTATCAAGATTTTTCTCTCTTAAAACACTATCTTGTAAAGGAAATCTATAACCTTTCTAATAGTTTTTTAATTTCTTCTATTGTTATCATAAAAACTGTTTTTTTTTTTTTTTTTGAACTGCATAAAAAAGTGGAAATATTCTTAATAAAATTAAATTCTGTTTCATGTTTCTTTGTTAATGATATTTTAATAATTTAGCACCTAAA